AGAACTCTGTTTTTTAAAAGAATAATGTAGTATCAATTTGTAAAATACCATATTAAATACTATGCTAATTTATACGCTAGTACGCCACTGTGGAGGTGGTGAATCTTTATAGGGTAGACTGTTGTAGTTCCATTCCTCGGTAGGTGTACCTGTAGCTTTCAATTCCCGACGAAACATTCTGCTCTCTTAGCTTGTTAGTACCTGGGTGATACGAGCGGGCGAATTTATGAATCTGCTGGCCAAGAGCCTCAGGCTTGGAGTTTCTGTTCTTCACAAGTCATTCTTGGAGCGGGTTCGTGTAGCAAACAGGACGTCTTCCTCTAGCATGAATGGTGCACACCCTGGATTGCTTTTTATCTTGGATTTGCTTAAAGGAAATGCTAGTCAGTACGACCCTTTGACTGTCAATGTGGATGTGTCCTGTTCAATTGTGCATTTTTAAAGCCGGCTTGCAAAGAGAGATAGATATATATATCCGTGTGCTCAGCCCTTCTGAAAACCAGATCGCTCAAACAAGAAGCATCAGGCTTTGGTCAACTGAAGCCTAGTCTACTTTTTTATTTTCATTTCTTTTCCGGAAAGATTCTCTAGTTTACAATAAATTCATTCTGTCAAATGTTTCTTTCAGTGGTCTACTTAATGGCTACTGTGCATCCGGTTTTCCAAAGTCCTGCCTACATTGTGTACATTTGGTGGTGCGGGTTATCCCCCCCTCCCCTAAACCATTTTTATTTCAATTTCTTCTTTCTCATCAATTGTTCATTTTTCCTACCAATCTACTTAAAAATCACGCACGTAAAAAATGCCGCTGGAATTGTGGGAGAGTGGCTGAAAGATTGTGGAGCATGCACCGGGGACAGGCCTCCCTATTCGTCCGATCTGAGCCTTATCGAGCCTTGTTGGTGGCTAGTGAAGGTTAAATTGTTTAAGCTCTACCTCGAAGATGTTGAACGGGGTAGAAGTTCGAGCAAGTTATTTGCACTACATAGGATGATGCACTTAATCAAGGTGCAAGTGACAACTTCATCCACTCCGTAATCGTGCCAAGCGCCGTATCACGAAGGTGTGTTGGGCGCTTGGCACGATTACCTAAGAGATTATTTACTACGCGTCAAGCAAAGGGCCCCGACACTAAATGTAAATTTGGTTAAATTCTGTAGCCAATGCTCTTTCGATTGATATTATGAACATGCATTCATTACAGTAGTGGTTCTGGTTAAATTGTGCTATGCGGAATGCAATGATCATTACTCTAATGGGACCAAAAGATAATACTCTATGACTACATTCCCCCACCTGATCCCCGGTCTGATTGAACAATTGGAACATCGAGAAAAAGATGTGATTGAGCATAGAGACTGCGTGGAGTAGCTAGAATCATTGCACTTGACGTAGCCGGGGGTTGGAATGACGTAGTGGAGGTCGGGTTGCCGACACTCCGGCTCGTAGGCCGGACAATCAATGCTGGGGAACAGGTTTTCTCCAGTTTTTAGTAGAGATCATTGAATATCCGATCTGGCTGGCACAGTACACCGATCTCGGTGAAAGGATCGAATGACCATGGTCGCAATCCTAGCATATGGGGCCAGTGCGCTGCTTCTGGACATGTTGATAACCAGCCAGATTTCATCCGCTGCGAAATCTGCATAGAACAAGCCATTTATTCATTCTCTTTTTCTCATTCCCCAATCCTCTAGTGTACCATTGCGGACCTCATACCTCATATAATTCACACAATAGACCTGAACCAACTCAGCTTGCTAGATGGCTGCCTCACTGGACTCGGATCTTGAGAAGCCAGAAGCATCAAGTTTCAAGGATGAAACCAGCCCACTAGCAGATAGGATAAAAACAGAACGGGGCATCGACACTCATGCCGAACGCGCCTCCGTCTCCGACGCAGCAAGCCACGAAGTTAAACCCAAGCTGCATACCGGCGGCAAGCCCGAGCTAACAGAAGTCGACTGCTACGAAAAGCTCGGCTTCTGCTTCCCAACGTGGAAGAAATGGACAATTCTTTCCGTCATCTTCGTAGTTCAGATGTCCATGAACTTCAACACAGGTGTCTATTCCAACGCCGTCACTGGCCTGACGGAAGAATTCCACATCAGCGAACAAGCCGCGCGAGTCGGACAGTCTGTGTTCCTAGTTGCATACGCCTTCGGATGTGAGCTTTGGGCACCATGGAGTGAGGAATTCGGCCGCTGGCCCATAATGCAGCTCTCCCTGTTCTTCGTGAACATCTGGCAAATCCCATGCGCCCTCGCACCCAACTACGGCACAATCGTCGTATGTCGTATCCTCGGCGGTCTCAGTTCCGCGGGAGGCTCAGTCACCCTCGGTATGACAGCGGATATGTGGGAAGCCGACGACCAAGGCTACGCGGTAGCCTTTGTGGTTCTCTCGTCGGTAGGCGGGTCAACCGTGGGACCTTTCTTCGGTGGCATGATTGGCGAATGGCTCACATGGCACTGGGTATTCTGGATCCAACTGATCATCGGAGCGGTAACGCAAATCCTGCACTTTTTCATCGTACCTGAAACACGCACGACGATCCTAATCGACCGCGAAGCGAAACGCCGCCGCAAAAATGGAGACGACATCTGGGGTCCGAACGACCTTAAAACCCCACGTCTAGACTATCACGACGTATTCCGAATCTGGATCCGACCATTCGAGATGCTCATCCGCGAACCAATCGTCCTCTTCCTCTCTCTGCTGTCTGGTTTCTCAGACGCCCTAATCTTCGTCTTCACCGAGTCTTTCACCCTAGTCTTCAAGCAATGGTCCTTTAGCGTGCTAGCTGTCGGTCTAACCTTTGCTTCAATCCTCATCGGCTACGTAATAGCATACATAATCTTCCTACCAGACATCCACCGGCAAATCCAAACACGACGTACTTGCGGCCCAGCAAGCCGTCTTGCCGAGCGCCGTCTCCTCCTCCTCCTATTCATTGCACCCCTCGAACCAATCGGTCTCCTTGGCTTCGCGTGGACATCAACCGGTCCTCCAGTCCCCTGGATCGCGCCGTGCATTTTCGCATGTCTAATCGCAATGGCGAACTACGCGATCTACATGGCAACGATAGACTACATGGTTGCGGCATATGGGGAGTATTCTGCGTCTGCGACGGGGGGCAATGGCTTTGCGAGAGATTTCCTTGCTGGTATCGCGACCATGTACTCCACGCCCATGTACCAGAATATGGGCAGCAAGTATCATCTCCAGTGGGCGAGTACGCTGCTCGGCTGTATTGGGTTCTTGGTTTTGATTCCGATTTACATCTTCTACTGGAAGGGTCCGGAGATCAGGGCCAAGAGTAAATTTGCGCAGCAGCTTGCTGCTGATCGGGATAGGAATACCGAGAGTAGGAGAGCTAGTCGGACAAGGGCTTCGTTGGGGGGGTAACTGAAGTGTTGGAGGTTTCAATAATGGTTAGACGAGCATGCTGGGTAGATGGATTCTTATATGATTTATGACGATTTAAGTTTCAGACTCTTATATCGTGGGAAAGAAGAAGCAAGACCTAGGTATTCAAGAGCAAACCAATATTAATTAATTTAAAAAAAAAAATTCAAGGAAAAAAGAAGAACGAAAGGAGCGACGACTCCCATGCCAGAACCTGTGCCTAGGCCACGCTCAGTCCGAGATTAGGAAGGTACAAGTGGAATAATTGTATGATCGTGGGCTAAGCAGATTAAAGGCCGACAGCCAGGATTTCCTGCATGTCAAAAGGCAGGTGTCTCACGTGAATTTAGAGAAATCCGGGGAAAGATCTGCTTCCGAGAGAAGAAGGTGGGTCTGTATCACGTGCTAACATTCCAACAATACACTGAGGTCTTCGCTGCAGATTTTGAAAGTATACTTCTCAATCACAAAAATTCTATGTTATGTATGAATAGTTATATCTTAGCCCAGAACACCGCAATGGCAAAAGATTTATAAAGGTATCTCAAGAACGCCACAAGTGCCCGCTTCCCTCGCTTCCCTCGCTTCCACAATTCTTCAACTCACCTTTCCACTCCGAAAAGCATCTACCTCATGCTTGAATAAATTATCCCATGCAAAGCGACATTTTGTAAATGCTTTATTTTACCTTGTCTCTGGCTAGATATCAACATCTAGCTCGAATGCAGCTTCTTGACGCGCATGGCGCCTTCATACACACCGCGGTCCAAAGCAGCGGCAACAGTCAAAGTACCACCGATGATAGCACAGACACCGGTAAGGAAGTTAGTGAAGGTCTTCGGACGAGCTTCGCGGTTGACAACCTTCATCGGGGAGATATCGTAGTTAAAGAAGACGCCTGGAATGCCGCCACCGGCATGCACGCGCTCCTTGTGGCCTTCCGCGGCATCATTTCCACCAGAAAGAGGACGCTTGTGCGAGGTTACCGAATATTGGTGAGCCTCGATACTACCCTGAGTACCGTAGGCGAGGCCATGGTAGCCAAGAGGCGCCTTATCGTAGGCGTTGTGGATGGCGGTCGAGAATTGAGGGTCCCAGCCTAGAGGCAAGTAAGATGTCGAGACAACCTTGACAAAGTACAGGAAGTTGTAGGCGGGCTCGTCGGTTTCCTGTTTGGTGTCGTCAAGCGGGTTGGTGTGGTGGTGGTCGGTCCACCCCCAGCGGCCAGCAAGCTCAGCGGGGAGCTGGGGTCCAAAGCGAAGCTCATGGACCAAGTGGGACATCGTGTGCTGCTCAGCCGGGCCCGCGTTAGGGTCGATATAGGTGTCCAGATCGTGGACGTGCATGTTGCCAGTGGTGAAACTGCGGCCTGGTGCAATGTGGAAGTTGCCAATCACCTTGTTGACCTTTAGCACACCCTCAATCCGGCAACCTTCGCGGCGCTGCTCGGCGAGTCTCTCGGCATAGCCTTCACGCGTACACTGCTCGATGTTGCTGCCGTCGCCAAAAGCCCATTGCTTCTCGGCGTAAGCTTGGCGCACTTCCTCGCAAGTAGTACAGCATCCCGGTTTGATCACATTGGGGGGAGGCGTTGCTCCGCCACATTCGCCACAGTATTCGGGGTCTAAGTGCTTTGCAGCTTCTGATGGGGAGTGTCTGGGAAGGGACAATTATGAGGTTGTGATCACGATGTGAAAGATTTCAGGTAGAGGGAATGTAACTCACAGGTCCAAAGCTTGGACATCAATCACCTTGCCTCCTTCGTTGCGTGGACTTAGGCGGACTTTGTTCACGCCGTGGGCCACACCGACCTGCTGCTCACCAGAGACATCCATCACGTCCAGGGTCAAGAGTTCGCATGGCAGCCGAGGGAAGGTCATGTTTAAATGGATCTCCATTCGCTCTCCTGCGAAGTAGATTTGAGTTGTTAGCGACTTTGCCCTGTGAATTCCATCTTCTACGAACCCATCGTGCGTCCGATCGAGCCCAAACACCTTTCATACCTCGCGATTTATCGACAACAAGCTCCGGCAACACAACAACTCGTCTGTAGTCGGCCCATTCACCCCATACCAGCCACATAACAATCAACAACGATGCAATTGTAATGACACCTCCGGATTTCGTGCGAATGCGAGCATCTTCAACCGTCTTGGCGAAGGCATCTAGCCTCGTAAATCGCGACTTTGCTGACATCTCGCCGGTCAATTGACGACCATAGGCTGAATCGCAAACGCCAGGCGAGAGTTTGTAGACAGCAGCGGAATAATAAGTGCCTGTAAGACAGAAAGAACGCGAAAATGTCAGCTAGGTGGTCACTGGACTTGCAAGCTCTATTGAATGACGGAGGCCTCATTCAAATAAACAGACCAAACAAAACAAAATGGAGCAAGGCAAAAAGGTAAGGCATGCATACCAAAAATAGAGTCCGAGTGAGTCAATAGATGCGACCGAGTCTTCTAGGTACCTGACAATAGGGACTAAGAGCAAGGCCAATTTGAAGCCTTTAAGTGGCTAGGCATACTTGCAGGGCCGATGTATGAGGAGCACCCCGTGAGGACAAACGACAGCATATGATTGGTCCACATCAAACAAACTGATGAGTCATCGTCTAATTTAGACTAGTTACAGAGTAATGCCGCCTCATCACGTGCCAATCGTCACTTTTTCTTTGAACTCACTTTAGTAATTCACGGTCCTATTGTTTTTTGGTCATTCACTGTCACTTAATCATTGACTTGCAGCTGCACTACATAATCTGCAATACACCCCTCTTCTCCAGTCTTTTCAGTCTGCTCTTTCTTTACCTCCCACCCTCCTGAGTCACATTTCCTTTGCGATTTCCTTGCATGCGAACAACTTCTGTCTGCCTGATCTGAGGCGCATAGCGCGCTGCTCGCTTCAACTTGGCAGTTTCAGCTTTCTTTGAACTCACATCCCTCTACAAGAACCCTCCGTCACTCCACCCACCTCTTAAATTTCTCTTCCAGCCATCATGAAGAGCATGAAGTCTCGTCACGGCGGCAATGATCGCGGGGGAATCCGCAAGCGGGGCCCTACTAGAACCGACCGGGATGGCGACATGGATATGGATGCAAGCGGCGCCCGTGCAAAGAGAAATCGTGCCGAGAAATCTGCCCTGGGTGGCCGCGCCGCCGGTACAGGTGCAGGTGGCCGAGCTGCAGGAACTGGCCACCGGGCCCAGGCTCGCAACAAGCAGAGAGACTCGGATCTGATCGAGAGAGCCATTTTCAGCGCCGACAGCCAAGCAAACGTTCAAAGCAGCAAAAAAAAAGCTGGTGGCAATCTGGAACAATTCAGTGTCCGAGGGTGGAAATCAAGCAAGGCGGCAAGTAACCGTGATGGCGGTCTTGAGAGCCTCATCGCATTCCTCGAACGACGTATGAACTCCTTTATCAAATCCGGACCCCGCGCAAAGATTACAAAGGTATGTTCCTCGTTTACAATCGCGGTCACCAACATCGGTCCTCGACGTCCCTCGCTTCAGTGTCCTCTCGTTTTCGAGGACAGACCTCCTACAAAACGACGATCGACACGTTTTGGGCTTTTTGGCTTTTCCCCCTTTGGATGACCGTGGTTTTCAAGGTCTTTTCGCACCTTTCTAACTTTCAAACTAGTCGCGCACTGAGGGTGACACTCTCGTGGCTTTCGTTCGACCTGATCTGGCGGGTCACATGCTTCGCATTAACAACAATGTCTTCGCCGGAGCTCATGTTACTGTTGAAGCATACACTGCTGCTACCGCACTCGACCAGGAACTGGCCGCAGCGGACCCAGTTCCTGGCTCGACCGCAGACACAAAGACTAAGATGACTACCATTCTTGGAAAGCGCTTCTTTCCTGCCACCAAACTGCTTGACTTGTCGAAGCTTTCGGACGACCCCGATCTAAACGCTATGGGAATCTTCAACACCATCTCTACTCAGTCCAAATTTTTCCCTGCTCTTATGAAAGTCTGGGAATTAGGCTTCAAGACTGTAGCTGAGCGACGTGAAGCGGTCGAAAGTGTCAGTCTGGCGGAGAACAAGCTTAGCAACATCAACTCCGTGACTACCCTCGCACAATCTTTCCCCGACATCCAATATCTGGACCTCTCGAAGAACGGCATCAAAAATTCGCAGGCGATGATTGGATGGCGTTGGAAATTTCGCAACCTCATCTTCCTCGACTTGACTGAGAACGAGATCAGTTCCGACCCAACTTTCAAGGACACTATGCTTAAGTGGTATCCCAAGCTGCAAACATTAAACAATGTCCAAGTGCGAACCCCAGAAGAGGTCGCGGCTCAGAAAAAGACACCGATACCCGTCTTGCCCCCTCACTTCATCGACGAATCTCAAGTCGGCGAAAACTTCGTTCGTGCTTTCTTCCCTGGCTATGACAACGATCGCAACAGCCTCGTCAGCAGCGTCTACGATGATGAGTCTACTTTCTCGCTGAATGTAAATACCACGGCTCCCCGGGCCGGTCAAACTGAGCAGGCAGGTTGGGGTGAATACATCAGAAAGAGCCGAAATCTCGACAAGATCAGCCACCTTTCCGCACGCATGTCCCGCTCCTTCAAGGGTATTGAGAAAATCCGTGAAGTTTTCAATGCGCTCCCGCCTACTCGCCACCCTGACCTTGTCGCAAAGGCAGAGCAATGGCTCATCGAATGTCACCCGGTCCCTCATCTCCCCGACCCTACTAGGCAGAGCTCCACTGGCGTTGGTGGCCTCTCTCTCATGGTGCATGGACAACTTGAGGAGAGTGTTGGTGGCAAGATTGAGACCCGAAGCTTCGATCGAACCTTTATTCTTGGCCCCGGTAAGACCCCTGGTGGCATCCGAGTTGTCAGCGAGATCTTCTGCCTGCGCGCTTTTGGTGGATGTGAGGCATGGTCCCCTGAAATTCAGGCACTTTCCCAGGTCCCCCAAGTTCCAGTTCCCGGTCCGGTTCCCACTGCGGTTCCTGCACCCCCCGCAGTCCCCGCAGCTGCCCCGAGTGGCATTTTTGCTGAAGGGTATGGTTTGCCCCGACCCGGAAAGTCCGACACCCAGCTTCAGCAGGAGCAGATGGTCACTCAGATGAGTGCCAAGTCGGGCATGACTTTGGAATACTCAGAGATGGCCCTCACAGGGAATGGCTGGAATGTCGAGCTTGCTTGGAAGAATTTTGAACAGCTCAAGGTAAGCTAGCTCCAACGATGGTCCCTTACTATTGCATAGAAGGGCAACTGATGACGGTCTGCAAAAGGCAACCAACGCACTTCCTCCTACCGCTTTTCTTGCTCCGGCGTGAGCACTTGATCAACACTTGCTGTTCTCCGGTTTCATTGAAACCTTCCACACCTATTCTCACTCCTATTGTTGTTAGCTTGTCAGTTTTATCTCGGGAGTGGTTCTGTGGAAGCATAATGCATTTTTATGTGACCATATTCTTTTTTACTTGCATGGCTTGGGCGAATGGCACTGGTTTGATAGTTTAGAAATCTTGACATGGCCCACAGGGCCAGAAACTTTATGAAAAAAAAACACCCCAAAATCAATTAAATGAATCATCTATTCCATTCTTTCACTCAGAATATAATTGGCATAGTGTGAACTTCACAATCTCTTGGATCGTGTCTGTACGTTGCAATTGCTCAAAGAATAACCCTTTGAGGATTGCGGCAGTTGCGGAAGATGCCAAGCTGGCACGCTAGAGAGCCATGCGGGCCCGCAATCAACTTCCCCCATTTCAACCTCTCCCTCCCACGAATTCCGCATTGGCCTCACAAAAATCAATTTGAGACCAGGTGCAGGATGATTCTGGTTAGCTGATGGAATGACAATCACTGCCATAACCACCGGCCACATGTTGCCAAACGAAGAACCAAGCCTCGATGCCTTGGATGCGGGTGCGGAACAAATGACCTCTCATGCTCACTGTTGTTTTTTCTAATGTAGGAGGCACATGTAGTGGACTACGATCCGATTGAACACTTGAATGCAGTTTTCTCCCATCCGTCCACCTTATCCTCCGTTTCTCAGATCGCCGACTCCCTGAACGAGTGCGAAGATGGGCTGGACGATGACATCGGCATGCTGGTGGAGGAGCAGGTCATCTCCAATGCCGATAGCGTGGAACGAATCCAGGCAGCTAAGGCTGACCTATCCGAGCTGTTCAAGAAGATCGATGACGTGCGTGAGCGCGCATTGAAGACCGAGCAGGCAATCACCGATATGACAGCCGAAATCAAGCAATTAGACAACGCGAAGAAGAACCTCACACTGTCGATGACGGCGCTCAAGCGCCTCCAGATGTTGACTACAGCATATGACCAGCTTCAAGCTCTCAGCCGGACGCGGCAATATGGAGAATGTGCACAGCTACTCCAAGCTGTCATTCAGCTCATGGCCCATTTCAAGTCTTACCGATCCATTGAACAAATTGCAATTCTTAGTCGGAATGTCGCGGACATACAACGGGACCTCCAGGAGCAGGTCTGTGAAGACTTTGAACTGGCCTTCGCCAAGGGAGAGGTCGGCCCGAAGCGCGCGATGCTCGCTGAGTCGTGTCTGGTCGCAGATGCTCTGGGTGAACACGCACGGTCCCGACTAGTGACTTGGTATTGCAATACACAGCTACGTGAGTACCGGCAGGTCTTCCGGAACAATGAGGAGGCTGGATCATTGGACAACATCTCCCGTCGATATTCATGGTTCCGGCGCATTTTGAAGATATATGATGAAGAGAATGCGGCCATTTTCCCGGCTTCATGGAGGGTTAATGAGGTATTAACTAATGCCTTCTGTGAGGGTACACGAGAGGATTTCAAGGGTATTCTATCTCGATCTGTACGAAGCGGACAGACTATAGATGTCAATTTGCTCCTCTCATGCTTGCAAGAGACACTTGATTTCGAGCATTCCCTTGAACGCCGCTTCGCCTCTTCATCGCGTGCATCTGTTGATACATTCGCCTCCACCGAACCACCTGTGTTCAACCAGTCGATTTCCGAGGCCTTCGAGCCATACCTCAGTGTCTGGGTCGAGGCTCAAGACAGGCAACTTGCAGCCCTGCTACCGAAATACCGCCAACAACCGCTCAAGGTACCGGATGAGGAGTTCAGCTCGCATAGTGTAATATCATCTTCGACCGAGCTATTCACTTTCTATCGGCACGCTTTGCAACAATGCGCCAAGCTCTCAACTGGTGGCAGTCTGGCGGAGCTAGCCAAGGTGTTCGCCAAATATCTGGACCAATATGCTCAGCAGGTCCTTCTCAATTACATAAGTGAACGACCAACAGTTCACACGCCATCTAGGGTGCCCTCGGTGGAAGATTATATTTCAGTCTTGAACACTGCTGATTACTGCTACACGACTTGCACCCAATTGGAAGAGAAGATTAGGGGTAGATTGGATGAGAATTTGAAGCAATCCGTGGATTTGCAAAGTCAGGCAGACTCTTTCATGGGCATTGCCTCTGCTGCTGTACGAGGCCTCGTGCGCCAAGTCGAAGTCGATCTCGAGCCTTCCTGGCGCGAGATGCGTAATACCCCTTGGGCTAAAATCGAGGCTGTCAGTGATCAAAGTTCGTATGTGAGTGAGATGCTCTCCCGGACAAAGGAGAAGGCAACAGGGATTTTGCAATTGCTGCATAAGCAGCAGTATGCGCGTGCCTTCTCCGATCATCTGGTTGAGCTCATCTCGAGCCAGTTCATTAGCAATGTCTTCCAATGCAGGCCTCTTTCAGAAACTGGCGCCGAACAGGTATGATGTCCCCCTCTGGGATGAAATTTTGTATCTTACTAACTCCACTCATAGATGCTTCTCGATTCCTATACTATCAAGAGCGGTCTTTCATCCCTCCTGCCTGCACCAGCGCCCGTCGGCTTTGTCAAACGTGTGAACAACAGCTTCTTCAAAATCGAGACTCTTCTCAAAACCCTCCAGGTCCGGCCGTCACCACCGGAAGCCCTTGTGCAAGCATACCTCATCCACATTGCCGACCGTAATAACAACAACTTCCGCAAAATTCTCGATCTCAAAGGCATCCGCAGCCGCCAAGATCAAAATCACCTTGTGGAGTTATTCCAGCTTCACCGTGCATCCGACCGCTATGCATCCAGCCTCCAGCAGAGCAATCCAATCCTCGCCGCTCTCCAAGGGCCACCCGTCACCGCCACCAGCTCCGTATCCCAAGGATTGGGTCTAGGCAGCGCCGCCGCAGTCATGCCCTCCCGCTTTGACGCCTCCATGCTCGGCTCTGCCTTGATTTCCGCTGCTAAAGACGGTGTTGACCGCTTCGGAAACCCCAGTCTCAGCACTCTGGGTGCTAGTGTAGTTGGAGCTACTGGGACAGCTGCATCAACGGCTGGCGGGACCAGCCCATCAGGCACTTTGTCCCCTTCCCTGGCCAGCTCGGCCCTACAATTTAATCTCATGCAAACACCAACAGAACTTGCATCAGGAAACCTCAATGAGAACCTTAAGAATATTGGCAAGTTCTTCCGCCGCGATCTTGGCGGTTTTGGAGGCCGGTTCGGGCGGAGTACTGAGGATGGTGCGTAGACTCTCCTCGCCTATTTTCATTACGTCTTAACCTTTGCTGGTTATATCTTGACTCGAACATGAATACACCAATGTAGAATTGTTAGTCGTCGCTTCGGTTGATTTTTTTTCGGGCCATTGCATGCCCAGAGCCCTAGTTTATGCATGCTCAGGGCACCCTGTCTTCACCTAATGTTTTGCAGTTGTATACCACTTGGATTTAACGCATTGAATGCGACATCCATGTAATGTTGGATCTAATTCGTCGATCCTTTTCTATTGCACATACTAATGTCCAAATCTATTGCCTGATGTGGGTCCTTCTCTATCCACGCCCTTCCAGTGACACGCAGCGATAAGGAGGGGCTCTGCATGATAAAAAAGTAGATCTCCACTTGGACCTATATCAATTGCACGCCGGTTCGCCCACAACCCCATCCTGTTCCTATTTCAAGAACGACCCAGCCCATCAAACCCTCAACAATGAATCCCCAAATCCCTCAACAATCCCAATCCCCTGAGTATACCATCCGCACCCACCGACCAGGAGACATAGGCTGGATAATCCATCGTCACGCAGCACTATACGAAAACGAACAAGGCTGGGGCACAAAAATGGAAGCTCTAGTATGCAAAGTGGGCGCAGAATTTCTGGATAACTACGACGTATCCATAGACCGGTGCTGGATCGCGGAGCGCAACGACGAGTTCTTGGGCTGTGCCGTTCTTGTCCGAGACAGAGAGCTTATCGACACAGCCAAACTACGCCTGCTTCTTGTTGAGCCTAGTGCGCGGGGCCTTGGGCTTGGCCGTGCTTTGATTGAGCAGTGTACGCGGTTTGCGCGCGAGACGGGGTACGCGCGGATTCGACTTTGGATGCAGAATGTTCTTGTTTCGGCTAGGAGGCTATATGCAAATGAAGGGTATCGGCTTGTTAGTGCTGAGGATCATGTGGTTTTGGGGAGGGGCATTTTGGGGATTGTTGGGAGTTGGTTCTGTGAGGGAGATGTCTACTTCCGAAAAGGGAAAGTGAATCTAGATGAGTCGTGTGCAGAGTTCGGAATGCTTTCTCTTGAATTTTTGGATTCAGCACTTGTCTTGAGATTCGGACTTCTAGAAAATGTAATATGATTACCTTGGGGGGTGTATACGAGTAGGATGTACGATCTACGACCTTGGGAGAGCTTGGTGTGTGATGTATCAAGCTTAATTAAGGTAAAGTGGGTCAATGACATGTGGGCCATGCCCACGTGGGTTGGGAGTTGTATGCAGTTGAGGTATCACCCAGAATGATTGAGGCAAAAGCGGGACGAGTTGACTGGCCAGAGGTCGATATTGACACCTATTCGCTCGATTAGGTGAAACTGCCCAAATGCCGAGATTACACGTCCCCTTCGTTTCGCCTGATAGGCGGAAAGACTCTTCGAATGCGAAGAGGGTCGAACATGAGTCTGAGTCCAAGGCTGAGGCTAAGCATGAATGGCCATCCGATCAACACGAAACTCCTCTGCCCGAGTACCGCTCTTACAATCATGCTGAAATCCCATCCAAGCCAAGAATCGTCTGCACTAGGCGATTGCGCAATGCATTTACAGAGAGCCTCGTCATTCCTAGCCCACAAACTGGAGACTTGGACCATACTTTCATACCAACTCAGAACACCGGGTCCTAGGAAGACTTCCCGCCTGCGTTTCTTACACAAGCCCGACTCTCTGTGCTGGCAGAAAGATACAGTATTCAGTCCTTGCACCAGTTGGCTCTTCTCAAGTTGTAGCAACCGCTGAAGAGCTTTTGACTATCTGACTGGAGATTGATTGACAGATTTGAGTTTGTTCGGCAATCCAAATATCACCACCACTATCTTCGCCATTCGTCGCCATAACTATATAATCACGGAACCTCGCTGGAAAATGCAGAAATGAGTTCTATCTTGGTTAGGAGGAATACCTCTATCGCCGCGTTTCACAGTGGCCAGAATCCTGCTGGCTCACCTTTAAGCCAGAGATCCGTCGGCTATTTGATCGCCATTAAAATACGAAAAAAAACAAGTAAAATTTTGCTCTGGCTTCTGTCAGTAATCGCACAATCCAGATTCCTCATGGCACATTCGTGACATAGTTCAACTTACGCGAGGTAGCTGGATTATAGGGATCTGTTTAGCAGGCAGGAACAAGGTCGGCAGGTCCGTTCCCGACGGGTGTGTGGGTCCGGCCTCTGACCTTCCAACCAATCAGGATAAGTGCTGTACCATCTGCAATAGGGTCCAATACTTCGTAGCCCAGTGCACAGATTTCATGATCCCTGTTGTAGTTCGATGAGCGTAGGGTCTGAGTCTGAGTGCTCATATTAAGAGAGACTCAAAATTTGTGGCAAAAAGGAACATTGTGAAACAAAGCATAAAAGAAGAATAAGACACCTTCTATATGCTGGCGGTCCGCCGGATACGGGGCGGATGCGGATGCCTTTTATAGTTCTCGCTCCACCGTACCTAGCAACTGCCAACAAACTTTCGTATTCGACATGAATCCAATCAGCTCGGGATTGATGGTGTGATGAACGAGGCCTTTTTTTAATCCATTGGCAGCCTCGTGTTCTTTCCTGGTTGAGCATGTGAGGACTCGGGGGGGTTAGTACAAAACAGGGGAGGATCTGAGTTGGTTTATAATAGACTCCTCCACAAGCAGCTACTTAGAAGCCTTCAAGTTTCAAGCCATTTCTCGTGCATCGTAGTTGTTGATTCTTGTCTAAGTATTGCGTTCTCCAAGCCAAAGGTATATATGCTTGACTCTAACAGTTGCCATGATATTTCTACTCTTTATGCCCCAATCCATTTCCCACCCTCGGCCCTTGATTGGGGGAGGCCGTTGGAAATACTTTACCAAGCACCAAGAGCATCTCTTAACCCAACGTTTGGCAATCAAAGGGACTCAAGGTTCAAGTGATAGTGAGCGACCTTCCGTGAAACTCGTGCTCCAAGCCTTTTCCAACTTTCGAGTCTGGATGCATGTCGCTATCACCATGCTCTCTGCTGCTGCCATGCACGGCATGATATCATACACCCCACTTCTGATCTGAAAGTTCGGTTTCGGACGAATTCAATCGAATGCGTTGGCCTCTGTTGGTTATTTTGGAAATGTTTTCTGGACTCTCGGGCTGGCCTGGATTGGGTAAGAATCACTCACGACATTTCACATAGTGCTTGGCTGACTAGACATCAGTGAGAAGACCAACTGGAGAGGCCCAATGGTCTTGATGTCCACTTGCTGGAGTGTGGCCACTTACAGTTGCATGAATATCGTTCCTTCTCTCCACGGAAGATGGGCTAAGTTTGTCCTTGTGTCGCTTACCAATGTCGGCGGCACGACAGTGCAGTAAGATCTCATTCCCTCGCTTACGCAAACTCGAAAGACACTTCCACTCATAAAAGTCTTATAGCGTGCTCAACGTTGGATGGCTCGTGTATCACACTAAATCGAAAACCACCAGAGGCGGAAACAGCGCGTTAGGACTCCCGTTCATAAACCCCCCTGTTTTTCTTGAATGGACTAGCATCAACTGTCAGGGTCTCTATGCTTATGCTGATTTTGAAAGTAGACTCATGGTGATGGCTGCCAATCTCGGTGGCCGTTCCGGTGCGCAAGTTCTTCGTCAAGAAGATGCGCCACTCTACAAGCACGGTTTTAGGAACATATCGTGCATCACTGCCGGCTGTTGGATTGTCGCTGCGCTTCTCGCGGTTGTTTACTTCTACGATGAACGGCGTGAGCGCGAGAAAAGTGAGCGAGGTACTGTCAAGGAATACGACATGGGCACGGCCTTGTGAGGCGGTGTCTTTTTCTTGCAGACTTTGTCTAAAGTACTATGAAATGGTTAAAATTTCTTAGCAATTTTGAACACAGTAATCTACATCGGGATGTGGGTTTGGACTCCGTCGTCTGGTCGAATAGATCTACCTAACTTTTAGAAGAAAAAAAAACGTTACGAGATGCTGAATGCCGATCGAGGATTCTCCTACTCGCTTCAAACGCTGGATACGGATGAGTCCTGGCCTGAACCATGTCATATCCACCCATCAGGCAGCACCCTGCGTTAGAAGAATGGTGGTAGATATTGTAGGATCGATGCTCATCTGACAGTGTTGGCCGGGACTGAAATTTCTCTCCCGATTCTTCTCCCCTTCAGCAGTTAGCAGCTTCAATGCAATTGTCTTATTCTCTTTTCCTCTCTTAGATTCCTGTCAAAAAAATTCACAAAGCTACGAAGTGCTAACACTTTCTGTAAGTTTCACGATCGGATATCCTAGAATTGAGAACTAATGTCCACATGTTTTTCGCCCGCCTTCGACCTCTCTGTTTCAGCTATTTCTTGCCCACTTTCGAGTTTCCAGGTTGATGATCGAATTGATTACAGGGTGGAAAAAGGGAATTGCCCAAATCCCCTAATATAGAGATGAGGTGGCTATTTGCGAAAACTACAAGAAAGGGTAACGTGATTCCGCATAACGGAGATGCACTGCAGTATGGTACGTTAGCACATATCATTCATTGCTTGTTTTGGAACCATGAAGGCTACAACGCTAAAATTGAGCACAGTGTTGGAATGACTATGTTCAAGAAATCAATTGATCAGTTAAAGTGTAACATTGAACATCGCAAAACATAACCACGTGGTAAGACTGGGACAAGCATCTAGGGACTAGAAGTACATCAGCATTGCCCTCAGTTTACAGACCCCTCACAGCATACTGCTCAGCCTGTTGAGCATTGAGATACGCTGATTTGCCAGAGACCTGTATGCGAACAGCATCAGTAGTAACCAGAACAGCACCATTAGCGTCGATGGCCTCTGCGAAGACCTGGCCTTCCTCCGTACACCGCGCAATGGTAGTGGAGAACACCAGGCTAGATTCGAACGAGACCCGCTCAACCTCCCCAACTTGGTAGGTTCTCACCCTCTCACTGTTACCCCAAGAAACACTTCTGCACCGGGTATAGAACCTCCAGGAATGCGTATGAGTATCGCCGTTCCAACTCACGTACGCCGCAGTTTGGTCGCCGTCTTGGATGACCACCAGAGCAGGAGTCTCCCTTGGATATCCGTCCCACTCGTAGCGGAAGCCTCTGTAGCTTTGTGCACCAAGAGCAAGGATGCCAGAGTCAAGGTACGCGTGGAAGATTGGACTGCCATCGGCCGTGAATTCAGTGACAGCGCCAGCCTGACCCCAGTTGACGAAGACATTTCCATTCTCGAGGACTTGGGCATTGCCCTGCGAAGGGGCTGAGAGCAAATCCGGAGGATTGAAGGTCTGTACCTCAATTGCAGTCCCATCGGTGTGGTTCAGCTGGACAATCCTTGCCCGGGAGTGGGGGTGTAGGTAGTCCACGCCGCCGGTTCGCTGACGGTCGGAGCGAGCAGAGTTGTCAAAGAAGGAGATGGTTTCGACAGTACCGTCCGCCGATTGGTTCAAAAACCGAGCGTCGTGTTGGTAGCCGAAGTTGAAGTTGTGCACAAACGTGGTATTGCCACCGCCGAGCTGCCACAGCAAGCCTCCAGTCTTTCCGCTGATCTTGTACAGGGCGCTCATATGACGACCAGAGATAAGGTAGTCACCTTCATCGTTCTTGTCGACGCTGTTGATGTGGAAATAATCCCAAGCGTCACTTGCGTTCAGTCCAGTGAAAGCTCGGCCAGAGCGAAGAGGAATATAGCTATCTGTAGTGGCATGTAAGCAAACATGTTCCCGCATGCGCATTTGATGTAAAAAAGTACCTGCAGGGGAAGCAAAATCCAGAGTATGACCCTCAAAGAGGAGCTTTCCAGTCTCGATATCGATTTCTTGGAAAACGCCATCGACAATCCACACCTCCTCGTCACGCCCGCCATACGGAGTTAGGTCAATCGCCTTCGGTTGGTATATCTCCACTAGTGCAGTCTTCTCGTTGACGATCTTGAACTCGTGGATAGAGATCAGCTTGTGGGTTAGAGACTGCAGCTTGGCAACCTGGTTATAAGACTGGTCGAGGAGAACAGGAGTGCCGTAACCGTGGCCATGGAAGGGATCAAGGGAGCCTTGGAAAGCCTGTAGAACCGGTTGGCCCTTGTAGCGTACAGCCTGGAAGTTTCCAACCCAACCAGCTAAGTAGCCCAAGCTTGACCAGACCATGTCGCCATTGTTCCTGAAAATGTAGCCGGCAGGTTGCTCGGGGCCTGCACGAGCGCCCTCGAAGCCGGGATAAGCGCCGATAAATATATAACCAGGCGCCACATCATCTGTAGCGGGGATGGTGATGTTTAATTTTGGAGGTGCAAGATCTGGACGAGAGCGGAATTGCCCATCGGCACAAACGAGACTTAAGCTCGTAGCCAGAGCGAGAATCGTCAAAGGCAACATGCTACCGCAACTGATTTAGGCCGAAGGCTGGAGAGTAAGCAGTCACAGGTGAGAAATCATGAGAAAAAAACACATTTTGTCGGGCTACTATCAGTTTTACGTGCGGTTCCTACGGATACGGTCCGATCACGGCGACTTCGTGCTCGAAACCCACCAATCCACTTATTTTAAGATGACGTGACGCACCTGGGAAGTGGGTAAAACAGCAGGGAAAAAAGGGGGGGGTTAAGTAGGGCGTAGAATTCGGGGCTCTTCAGCCAGAGTGTTGCCTCTTCCAGGACTCCTTCATCTCTTTGCTTTTCCCCTGCGTCATTCTGGCTGAGAAAAGTTCAAACTTGGAGAGATTCACAACTCGTACCCAGCTAAGAGTTCTTGACTTGATCGGGAAAATTAAGTCTCTCCAAGTACATGGTCCATGTGATAGACCGTCTCAGTACGCTCATGTTGATCATGAAGTTCAGGCCAGGTTAACTTTTGATCCAGGGGAGTCGGGCTACATTGCTGATGCTGAGGGTCCGCAAGTTAGAGATGCCTACAGGCAAGGGCTAGGATGGTCGGAGTGGACTTGAGATACACAAATCTTATGCTATAGTCCCACTGGGCGTTAGAGTGTCGCTTAGATCTCATGTGTTCCCCAGCCAGTCCGTATTGATCATTTGGAATTGACTAGCACCAAAGAAATCGACGGCTGGCATCATTGTCGTCTCATCCGTCATTTCATTAGCAAAGTATGGACCCGGGTTAGGGGGGCTTTGTAGATTGTTATCACTGGTGATGTTATTCCATGGCGTAGCGACGTCCATAGCGGTAATGGGCGGCAGACGAACTAAGCCGGTGGAATTGACAAAGTCAGAAGATGGGTTGCTACAAAGGCTGGGGCCAAAAATAGAGTCAGCATGGAACGATCCTCCTGATAATCTCGATGAGCGAGACATGTCGAGGATGTCAAGGAAGCCCGACACATTGATGTTGAGGTTGCCATCAACGCCATTTCCAGTCATGTTGGACTCGTGTGAACTGGACGCAAGTTCAGCCAGGGGTTTGGAGCTTATCTGCCTGTATCAAATCAGTTTGGGACCCACGGAATCTGATGATTATCTTTACCATTCGATTCATAAGCTCCCATTCCTGACCAATTTTCTGAATGAACTTCAAACATCGATTGTAGTTGTCTCTCTTCTTCTGACCCAATCTACCTTCCTCCCAAAAGCTTTGCTGCACCTGAATGGTCGCCACAACAGCGGCACAGTAGCCAAAGAAGGGGTCCGTTATGCGGAATTGGCGAGCCTCTAGAAATGCAATGAAGTGAAGAAACCATGATGTATGGTGGGTTATGGAGAATGTGGTTTGCTGAAGAAAGACCTCAGAAACGCCCTGGATGCCCTGCATCTGCATTGTGATGAGAAAAGGATGATTCAGCAGGCAAATTATGGTGTGATAAAGGAAACGACTGAGAAACCAAGGGGCCCAATAATCGCGAGCCTCCTCCAGATCATTCGCAGTAAGAGACGAGGGCTTTATACATCGGTACCGATGGAGAGGTGGCAACTTTTGTCCAAGATCCATGAGCTTCCGCAAGGTCGCAGAATATTTGGAGTCTGGGGACCAAGGTACGACGGCTGGCTCTGACGAGCCACGCGCGCGGACGTAGTCTTGGGTGGCCGACCAGACCTCGCTGAGTTTTATGACCGTCGCAACTATGCCCTCGCTTTTTAGGCCTGAACGCGAAGCGATTCGCTGGCCTTCCGGGCTTACAGCCGCCATCGGGGGCATGCAAGGACTTTCTGGATATGATGGACTTCTTCGATATTGAGTGTCGAGGGATGTTGTGGACTCCCCAAGCAGGCGGCGTAGCAGTATAATACTCCAATAGCAACGACTTCGCTCCTCGGCATCAACGCCGCCCGTAAAATTCTCAGCGCTATTTTTCAAGTTGGCACAACTGGCAAGAGTAATTGCTAGAGAGCTATGTATACGGCTCTTGACTTGGTCCGCATCTAGCCGACTTAGTCACTGAACCTCGTGATAGTGATCTAGGGGCTCTTACTGTAAAACTCTGTCAATGAAAGCAAGCAGAGTGCTTGTAACGTTGACAATTCCACTCGACCCTCGGTGATCCGGTTCATGACAAGCTGATGTGCTGCTTGAGAATATCTCGCAGATTCCCGGACGGCATTACACCTCATCCAAATGTCGTCGGAGTAGCGAATCATGAGAGCCAGAAAGCTAAAAATAATCTCAGGGTGTCGGTCTGGAAAGCAACTGCGCAACGTGTCGCAGCGGAACAGAGGGAGAGGCTGGCAATCGCAGTGCATGCGGTAATTGTCAACCAGTGCAAGAATCGTGGGCTATGGCGGAAGTGCGACCGTGATTAGCTGGGGCGACACCGACGTCGGAAAGCTCCTGTCTCCATATAGCGGTCTTCCAGTGTCGGATAAGCTCACTGAGGCCTGGGATTTGGCCACCGCTTCTTATGTTCTGAAGTACTTCCGCTAAGGAAGACTCTAGTGACTCAATCCGATTATGCTTGATACGTTGGTGTCTTTTTCTTCGTATTTGGAAATCGGCATTAACTTACTAATTCATGTTCGGTTCGCAAATCTTGCGACTCTGATGATCGTTTACGTCCGAGAACATCATGGGATTCCTCGCTTAATTGACCGTGTAGTTCAGCGGCATAGTAGCACTTCTGTCTGAGTCGGGCACATGTGGAGCAAGCCGGTCTCTCGCCAGTACATTTGGCCTTTTTACAGCTACTTTATGTCAGCTTGTATCAGTGCTATCCAGCGCCAATGCAGAAACGGGGAACTTGCCGGCATGGTTCACAGGCTTGTCGTGTACGCTTAGGAGGTCTGTCATCGTTCCTAGAATGAAGATCCATGTGTTGTCAGTCACCAAAAGACTTAGAAAGGATATCGATGGCCATGAGAATGAAGATGTCACCAGAGCGGAGATGGAGACATGGCACTAAGCTTCATGTGGACTGGTTTGTCGCACGCCATTCTAGTCATCTCAGTCGTTATTTGTATGTCGTAGGGCTCGACACTGAACTGAACCACGTAAAGCTGGTGGTCCTCCTTGGAGAATTTGGTGGTTTCGCAACATCCGAGGAATGCTTCATGGGATGAGGCATCCAACGTAGCTCATCTGCCAGCGCCACTACCGCGAACTGGCAATAACATTACCACTCGCGTAAAACACAGCAACTATGCATTGAGAAAACGGAACCAAGGTACTTTACTTATTAGTTGAGGCCTCCGTACTATCTAGGTTGTACACTAAACTTCTCGTTCTTATGAATCAATCGAGACACTGGGAAATCTGTCCTCATTTAGTAAATGTCCTGTATGCTAGATTTCTATCCGGTTTGTATACAATCCCATACTTCAATAAAGCTACAACCATCTCTCTGCTTCCTCTCTCCTACCTCCTCGAGTCTTGAAACCTGTTCTGCTTGTAAAGCGCGCTAATTCACTGGATTTCACCCTAACAATCTTCCCTAACTTCAAATTTAATACGGAGAATTTAGGGCTAGGAACCAAAGTCTACACCAGGTTTTATAAAAATCGAGAAAAGGAGCTCTCTACCAGAGATTGAAGGGCTGCTTTGGCGCTTCTTTCTTAGTGACAGTTTGCAGGAAATTAGGATCGATCGGCGAGGCATTTTAATTGGTTAAAAGTGAGGTGATAAAACCTTGACATAACGAAAGTTGGGTGGGAAAAGTTATCGATTGATTTCAGATGCCGGACAAAGTATGAAGAGGCAATTTCGGTTATAACTACTCCGTATGTTGTAGATGTTGTAGTGGATTAATTGGTGCACCAACTTTTGTTCGTTTATACTCGGATTCGTCATAACGAAGATTCACTAGGAATCTTCGGTTTTCTGCCATCCGGCATCGAGGGAAAAAAATCAGGCGTTCAGGTATCAACGTTATCCGAAAAAAAAGGGGTTTATCGCATGGCACCTATCTCGCTGCGTACCCTGGGCATAACTTGCGCACGTACGTAGTAGGGAAGTTGTCGTTCCGTGTAAAGGCGGTAGAACAAGTGGAGGATTTAGACAAGGGGAAAAATGCATCTGTTGTGATACATGCAGTTGATGAACTAGTAGATATAAGAAAAACGATTAGAGGCGAAATACCACAACCTGAGAAGCCGACAGGCATCAGGCAGACACGCACCTAGCCAATTGAGGGGCCAAACCTCTTGGATCAGTCCAGTGCACGGTCTACAATATAGAAAGAAGACAAGGCAGCAGATAATCTAGAATAGACGGAAATGACGGTTAATACTTACAATTTCAAAAGATAATTCCCAGATAGTGTCTGTACCATTGTAGTCCCTTAGTCTCACAAGGTATAGTCCGACGTGCCCTGTTGTGTATTGTTGTCTGGATACTGAGCTGTGGGCGAAGCATGACCAACACCTTGATATCGATGGATGACCTCGGGAGTCATCCATGGAAACAACAGACGATTCATAGTCACGTCATATATCACGGGCGAACGTCTCTTCTCGGAGATCTTGTCACAATGATCTGAAATATATTCCACAAAGAGCCATCATTCAATATGCAAAAGAGGAGCTCTCAAGATATTCATTTACACCATCCCTTCGCACATGTCCAATTACCTGCACGCCCCACGTCAGATCACATCCACCATATGATCAAGGATGATGGAAGAGAGACGGGGGATTTTGAGAGCCCTCACATCCTCGATCGACTAACCAAGATCGTAGCTGGGTGGGGATGGTTGACACCTGAACGAGAGTGTGGTTCTCCAGGATTTGCGACCGCTTCTCGTCCACAAGAGACGCCTACGCATTCAGATGAGTCGGATCAGGCGCAAAACATTACAGGCGGAGCATTGCCGACCTCGATGGAGGATTATGGGAAATTCAAGAAAGTCCTCCATTACAACGACTCCAACACTGTTGAATTATACGAAAAGAAAATACCACTTTTTGACAAAGCCACATCGCCAACCGGATCCCCGCAAAGCCATATGTTGGGAAGAATGAGGCGAACTTCTGCATCTAATACAATCAAGGAACTCTATGCCGTCAAAGTGTTTCGCCACGCCAAAAACACCATATTTCCACCAGCCAGTTCACTTCCATCTCAGAGTCGACCTGTCTCCTTCCATCACCCTAATATTGCCCAAATCATTGACATCCTCGGTGATAAGCAAAGGAATCTCTGTCTGATCATGCCATACTACGCTGGCGGCAACCTACACTTTTTTCTTTCACAAGAGAGGAAACCAAGCGAGGAACTGACCACCGAGGAGTTGGATTGTTTAGCTATACAAATTCTGCGAGCAGTGGCTTTTTTGCATGGAATTGACATCATCCATGGCGATATGAGGCCAAAACATATCCTCCTCACAGCCCAGGGCGCAGTGAAAGTGGGTGGTTTTGGCGAAGACGAAGAGGCAGTTCGAGCACTAGCCCAACTACCAAATAGTGGCAATCTCACATCATCCTCTTCGGTACCAAATGCTCACTCGGCTCTGGATTCTAATGATAAGCCGAATCTGAACATTAGGAAAAGGGTCTCGGATTCCAGTGTTCCTTATCTTCCTCCCGAGAGGTTTTCCAGTCGTCGTGGATCTCACCGTCAAAGCTATACGCATCAGGATGTTTCTACTTTCAAAGCGGGAGACATATGGGCATGCGGAATAATCTGCATGTTACTTCGATCCGGCAAATTTCTCTGGCACAGCGCCCAGAGAGTGAATCCTGACAAATCCTTTGCCGATTACCTCCACTGTCGTCTAGAGCATAATGGTTATAGTCCAATACAGGCCCTTGAAAAGGTTAGTTACATCGATCGACCGTTTCAAGTGATGCTAGGCATAAGAAACAGATCTAACATCTCGAAATCTAAAAGCGTCACCGGAACGTGGTTTACGCGATGCTGCATCCTGATGTAGGGTCAAGGATTACTGCCGCAGAAGTCTTGAGATCTGAGTGGGCCCTGGGAGTTGCAGTGTGTGAGGCTGGGGAAATGGGGCTGTGATCCAAATTTCTTTTTTTTTTTACATTTTGTGCATCTACTTACGACGTGAAATGTAAAGGTTTCGTGTACACTTCTTCTGCAACCAACAATGAATACTAGATTGGAAAATGTGTGTGATAGATCTCCCTAGGTCCCTTGGCCCCTTAAGACCTGAAAAACTATGTGAAACCGAACCTGCGTCCAATTCTTTACAGTGAAAAGATATATTGAGTCTTTCCACGTCTCCCAATCGGATTGAGGCTTCGAGGAAAGACATCGTACTCTCTATAGACATGAAGACGTCTTGAACTGGGCTTTAATGGAGCTTTTCTCCTCTGTGCATCATGTTTAAGAATAGAAAATAGGTGCTTGTCCCGAAATCGTTCGACGGACCAGTTGGTCTTCGTGCCAGCAGACGATGTCGGATATACCTTCAAATTCAAAGGGAATCGAAATGATTTAAGCGAGGGTATCTTTGACCTCAGGGTCTGGCTGGAAAGAATGGGAAGACTTGCTGCGGCCGAAAAGCTTGATGCCAAGAGTACTACTTGATTTGGATTGAGAAGACAAAGGTAGGGTAGACCATACAGGTCGTGTATGTGTTCATTTACTCCGATGGTTCTGATTGCAACCAGGCCGTGTTCTGGGCTTTGCGAGCCTTCCAAGATCCAGGTAGCCAGCCGGACTACTCTCAGCAAACGATGCCCCAAGTTCTAGGAGTGGATTTTAAAACGATTTGGTTGCGATGCAAATCACCCTTGATTGAAGAGCATGTCGCTATTGTCAAGTAATTCAGACCGAAATGGCTCTGCCCTGCTACGACAGCCCGGGCAATGACTCTGCTGATACATGCACGCCACTTTGCCTTTTGGCATGTAATACCAATACAAGTAGTCATCTGTCATCCCTTATTAATATGTAGTTCAGAGCTTCTTCTGTGATCAATGAGTTGTGTGATTTTGAAAGAATGCCATGTTTATTTCCAGTGGCGTGCAGACATTAGCATAGTTCTCGCTCGGGCTGTCGTAGCAGGGTAGACGCACCGACCACGGATCAGGCATCTTCCGTCGATAGAGAAATGTAAAACCAAGTATGAGATTTTCGAACAGAAGCAAAAGTACCTGCTTCTGATAGGTAACTCGTGTGGAAAACTCTGTTGTCAAGTGGATGGGCCTGTGAGATCGTGCCTATAAATAAAAAATTAAAAGATTCCGACCTGCACGGGAAATCTACCAATCAAACGTCTAATGTCGAAAGGATGTTCGAGTTTGATTTTTGACGGATGCCCAGTAGGGCTCCCACTACCTAGTCCGTAGATCTAACGTATTTGCTGCCTTGCACCCATTGTACTTACCGATAAAAAGATCCAAAGGACCCTGCTTGATCCGACGAAGAGCATCAACGGTCTTCCGGGGCTCATGGCAAACTGAGTTGCGACAATTCTCATCCATAGAATCTCATGCCTGCTCCAGACTTTATTCTTGAAGATATTCATTCCATTTAGTATGAAAGTTCCACCTCGATCAACGCGCCGAAGACCTGCGGTACGGGGATGTCTTCCATTTGGCCGTTGGCAAAAAGAGTATGAGCTTCAGAGATGTTCACTCCCTCGAGGACCTTTCTGGTCGACATCGAAAAGGTCATCAAAAGAGTGGGCTACGGGGCGTCGGATAGAAAAGCGGGTGCTTCAAAGCAGGTCGTGGTGCAATTAAGCATGGTCTGAAGAAGGGGCGTGCACCTTTTGTGTGGAGTTGCTATACCAAAGTTGCCTAGTCCTCCATTTTGCTATCCGCTGGGTGGGCGCTTGGCTTGCCACGATTACTCGAAATGACTATTTTTGCACAATAGTTTGGAGAAGAAGATTTTTTTTTTCATTGAGCAACCATCTATTACGGCAGCTGCACAAATCGAGATAGCGAACTGGATTTCAGACAGCCTCTCAACTACACAATTGTCTACGATGACAACATATCGGCACTACTATCGCAGGTCGTTTGAAGAGCATCTGTAATCTTGTCACAAGTTAGCAGTTGTTTGCAATGGAGGTAGTCAAAAAGTCCAAAGCAAAAGCGTGTGTGAATGTAATGGCATGGCGTCATCAAAAAATTAGAGTGTTGTTGTTGCATTATTTTAATCTTCAGAGCGCCCCGGAGGGGGGCGTAAATGCTCGGGGTTAAAAATTTATAATCATCCGCCAGGGTGATGTGAGGTGGTGTGGGTGCAAAGGGAATGAAGAAAAGGGAAAGACAACTCAAAACTCACCAAATCTGTGGGAACGAATAATGGGCGTAGCTACGTCCATTATACGAGTCTTAGGTTTCCGAAGGAAATCCATTGCCAAGACATGTTGTTTCATTCCCGGTCGCTATTTCAAGCTCCGGTGCAAGTAAATCTAATACATGGCATTCGTATCCCAGAGAAGATGCGCTTAGTCGAAGAGACCGAAGCCCATGTCCTCATCGGACTCCTCCTCTTCCTCAGCGGGAGCTGCGGCGGCGGGAGCGTCACCGCCGGAGGTGGCGGCGGCGGCGACAGGGGCAGCAGAGGCGTACGCATCGGGGTTAGCGATGCGGTCCTTGAGATCTTCAATCTCAGCCCAGCTGTAGTCGGTGCTGATGGCAGCAGCGAGGACCTTCTTGTATCCGTTGATGAGGGAGTGGATGACGGAGGGAAGGGTGGGGTAGTTGGCAGCCAGGGAGACAGCGGTAATGGTGGCAATAGCCTGGGAGAAGGCGGCCAAGAGCTGCTCATCGGTGATGTCAAGAACATCGGCACTGAAGCACTGACCGTTCTCGTAGACCTGGGTGATGGTCATACCGTAGGTGAACGGAGAGATGTTCAACAGGTTAAGAAGGGTAGCCTCGGAGGCACCGACCTTGTTGCCAGCCTCAACGAGCTTGAGGTCGGAAACAATCTCAATGGTACCACGAGCGATCTTGGTGGGGACACCGAGAGCCTGGAAGAAGGCGGTCTTACCGGGCTCCATACCAGTGTTACCAGCGGGAACCCAGACATCGTCGGGGGCGACGGCACCGGCACGAGCGGGAGCAGCGACACGGTTGGCAAGGATCTTCTCCTTGGTGGCCTTAAGGTCACCCTTGGTGAAAATGAAACCAACGTTGCCACGGACGTGGGGAAGGAGGCGCTCCCACTCGGGGTTCTCGGTGACGAAACCCTTGAGGGCACGGCGAACCATGGTGTTCTTACCCATCAGAACGACGGCCTCACCACGGAGAGCCATACGGATCTCGTGCATCTGCTGAGAGCTGACATTGTCAACTCCAACGATGAAGATGGTGCTGTACTCATTGAGACTGTAATAGAAAGATTGTTAGAAAATTTCGAGGTGTGTCAATTGCCGGGCGACATCATGGTGGAACTAACAGAGTACGCAGCTTCTCAAAGTAAGCGGTCTTGGTTGCGGACTTACCCCCCATTTCTTCTTGATTTCGGTGAAGATAGGTTGTTTAAGGGAAAGTCTGTTGTTGTTGTGGTGAATAGAAGGAAAAAAAAAGAAGAGCTTGCCGAGTTGGGGAAAATCAATTTTGGTGGTGCGCTCGCTAGTGGGTCACGTGATGCAAAAGCAGGACCCGCCCAAGATGGACAGACATGGCCGGAATTCGATCAGAGGGATCTTGGGAGCTGTAACTTCTGTTATTTGTTGTCTTCTTGACTACAAGTAGGACACACTTGTCAAATTTGCGGGCTGATTGATTGTTCTCATTCTGTGAATCAAAGCCCTTCATCATGGCCGGTCTCCAACACCCATTCCAGTGTCTGCGATACGTCAACAGGCAGTCAGCAGGCCAATCGGATATCCTTATCGCCACTGCTGGTCGCAATCTTTACTCTTACCATGCGTCCAATGGCCAGCGCCTGGATGTGTGGCCTCAGCCTGTAGATGCCAATGCGGAGGATAAAAGCTCTGACGCAGCTCCCGCATCTGAAAGCCAAGGCCCCCCAGAAAAGCGAAGGAAGCTGTCTTCGACTTCCGAAGAACAGACGGATGCCAAATCTGAGTCAACCCCTAAGGACTCGAAGAGAGAAGCTTCCAATTCCTGGACCAACATTCCTCTCTTGACTGTTGCCCACGGTAAATATGTAGTGATCATGACCTCCGAGGACAAGTGTGTTCGAGTCTTGAACCTGGATGCCGAAGGGAAACTCCAGCAATTGAGTGCTCGGTGAGTGACTAATGTTCTAAATGTAAGCTCGCCAACTCATCATCTCTAGTACAATGCCCAAGAAGCTCTCTGCGCTTACTCTGACTCCCGATGAGAACAACATCTTGACGGGTGACAAATTCGGAGATGTGTACACTTTCCCACTGATTCCGAGTGGAGAATACGTGAAGCCCCAGGCTCCAGCCAAAGCATATGAGCCATCTGCTACGAACCTCACGGTGCACACGAAGCGCAACCTTGAATCATTGGAACAACAAATGCGACAGGCTGCTCTGTCGAAGACCAATCAAGCGGAACGAGTTGTTCTGAACTTCGAGCACCAAGTCATAATCGGTCACGTTTCGTTATTGACGGAATTGATTTCCGTCACCCGGCCTGCGGACTTGACTGTTGGCAAGCGGAATTACATACTGACAGCGGATCGTGATGAGCACATCCGTGTCTCTCGTGGTGTTCCCCAAGCTCATGTCATTGAGCAGTTTTGCTTTGGCCACACTTCGTTTGTTAGCAGTCTGTGCGTCCCCTCGTTCGAACCCAAGGTTCTTGTCTCGGGTGGTGGCGACAATTATCTGCTTGTATGGGACTGGCTCGAGAACCAGATTTTGCACAAAGTTCAGCTCCCTGGGGCAGAAGGAGAAACCACCGTGCGCGGCATTTGGGATGTTTCCCTTAAGCCTACCGCAGACAATGCGGATCCTGTGAAGGCTATCTTCGTCGCACTTGAAGGGCACGTTCCAATCACGATTAATCTTATTTATACTTCTACTAACATTGAGGATAGGTCTGCACAGCTTCTTTGCTACACACTCAAAAGCGACAACTCGATAACTCACCAGGATACCCTCCAACTGTCAGGAAACGTTCTTGCACTGATTGGCCTTGATTCAAGAGGCTCAATTCTTGTTGCTGTGGATACTTTGCGGGAATCCGATTCGATAAGTGCCTGGAGGTCCTCTTCCCAGCCTCCGCTTGAAGCCTTCCGCTTCAGTTCCGGAAAGTGGGCTCCTGTGGAAGACTCCATGGTCGCTAACATCAACTCCGAAGGCACATCAAGTCTCTCTACGACAATAGAGGAGAAACAGCAGAAAGAGCTGAATGACTCCATGTACAATTTGGGCAACCTGCGGAAGAGAGATGACTATGACGAATAAAAGCAAGCTTTTGATGAATGTACAGCAAATAATCAAATGAAGTTCCATAGACATATTTAATGCAGCAGTCTCCCGAGGTTCATTGTAATTCGTTCAGAAGGGGAGGGGAAGCATGGAGGTAAACTTCACCTATCCTGATAGAAACACATCCCTAAAACCTTTCAACAAAATGAAGGTTTTTCACGGCCTTTTTTCTATTCTCCGCCTCCTCCTACGAAGATAGGAGTGATATCAAATAGATCCAAGCCAACTACGAAAACACTATATACAGGATGCTGCTGAAGATAACTATTATTTTTCTACATATGTCGATTGTTCAACTTAAACACATTCTTTTCAATCATGCAACATAGAATTGCCAGTATCAATGGGGAGAAATCGGATATTTCTAGTCGCAAGATGTTCTAGGATGCGATATGTGTGATCTTCCCCTTGAAATAAGAGTTTTGGCCAGCAAGAGGGGACCTAGTTACTTCTTTATCTACGGAGCACGCATTAAGTAAACTGCCCACATGGGTAGCAAGTCAGAATGTACCCTGATAGGATAGTCCTAAGGGGCTGGAACAATATAATGATTCATCACGGTGGCCTTAATCCGCTAAGCATCTCCCGCGGATGGTCCCATCCAATCGGATAGTTAGACTCATGGTGGTTATGAGCGGACTGAGGCATCTTGAAGCTCTCGGGGGCTCCGAAGAATTGGTGTTTGATCTACGGGGAAATTATAGGGATATCATACCAGCGTTATATTTTTGACCGAGAGTAGGAGTTCTCGGAGTAAAGTCCTAGTCAACAAGAAGGGCGGATAGGTCAACCTCTAGTAGAACAAGTTGTCTAACAGCAAACAATGTGTGCCGGCGATGTCCATGGTTAAACACACAATCATTTCAATCGATCTGAGACCTTGGATTACAGCTATATTCCTTAGACATGAAAGAACCTAACGAAGGCCCAAAAAATTCAAAAGAAATCTCGGAAAGAAAACGCAGCTGTGGATGCACAGGGATGAAGGGCTGCCACTGTATTTCCCGATGTTCACGGGCCGCGGTACCCGGAGAACCTTCCAAGGTTCTTGCAATCCCACTTCTTCCCCTCCATCCCACTTGTATATTCTACCAACACTATGCAGGAACAATTCGAGCCTTTGAAAAACGATTTGCTGCTGAGGGCTGCACGGGGTATGTATACTGCACGTTTTGTGTTTTAATCGAAGCTGACGATCGCAGGTGAGAAGGTGGAGCGTCCTCCGATATGGGTCATGCGACAGGGTGAGTTAGATTCATTTGTGCACCTCTCCCCCAAGAACAATTGAATGACATTTCCTTATTTCTTCAACAGCTGGTCGATACCTCCCCGAATACCATGAGGCGAAGGCCGGCCGTGACTTCTTCGAATGCTGCCGCACACCCGAAATCGCATCAACCTTGACCCTCCAACCCATTGAGCGTTATGAAGGTCTCATCGATGCCGCAATTATCTTCTCCGATATCCTAGTTATTCCTCAGGCTATGGGTATGGTCGTGGAGATGCTGGACAAGAAGGGACCTCATTTCCCTGAGCCGCTCGACTCCCCGACAGACGGGCAGTACGAGAAGGTGATGGCGAAGGAGGTGGACGTGAAAGCAGAGCTGGACTACGTCTATAAGGCAATTACACTTACACGATTCAAGCTAAAGGGCCGGGTGCCCCTGATCGGCTTCTGTGGTGCACCGTGGACACTGCTGTGCTACATGGTCGAAGGCGGTGGCAGCAAGCTTTTCGTGCAGTCTAAAAAATGGGTCTACAAGTACCCCATCGAGGCGCAGGCTCTTTTGCAGAAGATTGCCGAGATCTGCGTGGAATATCTAGCGCTCCAGGTTGCTGCCGGAGCGCAGCTGGTGCAGGTCTTTGACTCCTGGGCCGGCGAGCTGTCTCCCGTCTCGTTCAAGTCGTTCTCGCTTCCTTATCTGCGCTACATCTCCGCCAACCTCCCCAAACGGCTGCGGGAGATGGGTCTGGAGCCTGTCCCTATGACCGTCTTCGCCAAGGGCGCCTGGTACGCTCTGGATGACCTGTGCGATTCGGGCTACAATGTTGTCGGCTTGGACTGGCTGCACGATGCCGGTGAGGCCATGCGCATTGCCAACGGTCGTGTTACCATCCAGGGTAACGCGGATCCCGGCATGCTCTACGGTGGCCCCTCGGCCATTACTGCCACCGTTGAACCCATGGTTGAGGGATTCAAGAAGGGCAAACAGGGATGGATCTGCAACTTGGGCCACGGTAAGTCGACCCTTGTAATTTGGGGCTGCGTATCCTTGAACTAATTCTCTCTCAACGTAGGTGTCACTCCATTCGTCGATCCCGAGAACCTCAAGTTCTTCTTTGAAGAGATTCACCGCCTGACCGTATGATTGTATGTTTCTTGAATCTTGAAAGCAGTCGGCTTCTTTCCCGACTCAGATTAGAAGACCGCATTGGACCTAAAACAAATTACTTGGGCGCGAATATTTTCAATTCTCGGGGTATTTAGGGCTATGATACGTGCAGGCCTTGTGAAATTAGACAGCGATATCCTCGTTCCTGTGTAGTGGACACTACAGTTAGTATTGATGATCATGAAACAGTCGACAATCTTCGAGGCAACTGCGAGCAGACCGAGAGCCGCTTTGCGCATTGCGATACACCGACCACCAAAAAAGACATACCATAGCTCCGGCTTCTCCTTCATGAAGTTGGTCATCAATTCCTTGCACTCGGCGTTGTCCAAGACAACAACCTCCTTGCCCTTATTGAGAAGAAGCTCCTCACCACCCATGAAGCTCTTGTTCTCACCAACAACAACCCGTTTCACCTTGTAGAGGATACAAGCACCGGTACACATATCACAGGGGGAGAGGGTGGTGTACATGGTAGCACCCTCATAGGCAGAGGCAGGAAGACGGCCGGAGTTTTCGAGGGCGGACATCTCGGCCTTGGGGGTATTAGCGGTAGGTCTTGAACGCTCTCATAGTGGATATAGATAAAGATCGACAATCGATGTCAATAGGAGTTTATCAAGCTATACTGACATGCAAGACAGCGCTTCCCTTCTGGACACGCATGTTGTGACCACGGCCAAGGATCTTTCCATCCTTCGAGACCAGAGCAGCACCAATTGGCACACCTCCTTCAGAGAGACCCTGCCTCGCCTCTTCGACGGCGGCAATGAATCCGGGATCCTGTTCCATTTTGGAGAGTGTAGTAGTTGAGCTGATGTGCGGGCTACGGAGTAGAAAGAGGGGGCAAGATAAGGAAATCTACGCGGAGTACGGAAATCTACTCCGTACTCCAGGGCACAATCGGAGAATTCCGAACCCCTTAATTGACGATGGGACCGAGTGGACCGTGAAGAGCTTTTTCCCTCTTCGCCTCTTAGCTTATCGATAAGAGAAGAGATGTGGCTGGTGAGTGGCTGTTAGTGGCGATGGTTCAAATTTTCTGCATTGTGAATTACTGGTACATTTACAGGGATGGTACGGAGTATACAGGTTACAAATACAACAACCCGTTCACAACCCTTTTATTAAATACCTAGTAGATTGCCAAATGAATAAATATTAGAAAAGGATCTTTCTTCAGGTATTCAGTATGTTTTATATCTGGGTGCCTGACCGACGAAATATACCCTGTTAGTTAGCAGTAATTAAAAAAAAACAATGGAAGCGCGAAGAAAACTCGCGAAGACCATCGAAGGCCGCAGAATCCCGTAGAATCAGCGCTCGGGCCAGTTTGCGATGTACATAGAAGCCACCAGAAGAACTGAAGATGAAGAATGGCTCGTATTGTAAAGCGATTCGACAACACTGGATTAAAAATAGCAAAATCTCCTTCAAAGCGAGGCAAAGAAAACTAGTGTCAAATCGTCAATCCTCAGTTGCCCTGGTAATTTATTGGGTAATTTTACGAACTCCATACAGGTGCCTGGGGTTAAAAAGTTACTCAGCCTTTTTTTTTGGCTTCGATTATTGTTGTTCAGATAACCATCTCGCCCTTTCTCTCCCCCCTCCTCCACTTCCTCATCACCATCCAGCCAGGACTTCAAATACCCGCAATCGTTGTCCGTTTGGCATTTCTCTTATAAAAGCTGTCTTAAATTTTCAGCGCCTTTGTTTCCCCCTCCATTCTCCCACTTCATCTCTGGATTCTACGAGAATTCCTAATATTGATATCCTTTCTTACGCCTCTTGATTCCCCGCATACTTCACAATGGTCAAGGAAACGAAGTTCTATGACATCCTCGGGGTACGTTATACTATACTTGGCTGATCTCCAAGTCCGTCTGATTCGGGCTTTAAATCTGACTTGATGTTTCTTTTCATTCAGGTCGCTCCCACCGCTACTGAGGCTCAGCTCAAGACTGCCTATAAGAAGGGTGCTCTCAAGTACCACCCTGGTATGTGCCAATCCCGGAAACTCCGATATAGCATATGTGGAAACACTCAGCTGACATCCCTTTGTCACATGAAGACAAGAACACCGGCAACCCCGATGCCGCAGAGAAGTTCAAGGAACTGTCCCACGCCTACGAGACTCTTTCCGACCCCGAGAAGCGTCAACTGTATGATCAACTCGGTGAGGAGGGCCTGGAGCACGGCGGTGGTGGCGGCGGCATGAACGCTGAAGATTTGTTCTCTCAATTCTTCGGCGGCGGCGGCGGCGGTGGTGGCCCCTTCGGTGGAATGTTCGGCGGCGGCATGCGTGAACAAGGCCCGAAGAAGGCCCGCACAATCCACCACGTGCACAAGGTCAATCTCGAGGATATCTACAAGGGTAAGGTATCCAAGTTGGCGCTCCAGAAGTCCGTCATCTGCGGTGGCTGTGACGGCCGCGGCGGAAAGGAGGGCGCTGTTAAGGAGTGCGCGGGATGCAACGGTAGCGGTATGAAGACTATGATGCGCCAAATGGGCCCCATGATTCAGCGCTTCCAGACCGTCTGCACCGACTGCAACGGCGAGGGCGAGATCGTCCGTGATAAGGATCGCTGCAAGAAGTGTAACGGAAAGAAGACCGTCGTTGAGCGCAAAGTTCTTCATGTTCACGTCGACAAAGGTGTGCGCGATGGCCACAAGATTGAGTTCCGCGGCGAGGGCGACCAAATGCCAGGTGTCATGCCCGGCGATGTCGTGTTTGAGATTGAGCAGAAGCCCCACGCCCGCTTCCAGCGCAAGGGCGACGACCTGTTCTATCAGGCCGAGATCGACCTGCTTACCGCTCTTGCTGGCGGTGCCATTCACATTGAGCACCTCGATGATCGGTGGCTGACCGTGAACATCGCCCCTGGCGAGGTCATCGTTCCTGGTATGTGACTTTGAAAAAAAATTTTCCGTCCAAGCTTCGTGAAACTTGTAACTGACAATTATTTCCAGATGCCATTAAGGTCATCCACGGCCAGGGTATGCCCTCATTCCGCCACCACGACCACGGCAACCTGTACATCAAGTTCGATGTCAAGTTCCCCAAGAAGGACGAGCTCCAGAACCTGGAACTTCTTGAGCAGGTCCTTCCTCCTCGCTCAGAGAAGGTCGTCCCCCCGACTGACGCTATGGTCGAAGATTTCGAGCTTGAGGACCCTGAGAACGAGCATGACCAGGCCCGCGCCCACGGCGCGGCCGCGGCCGGCATGGAGGAAGATGAGGATGACGTGCCCGGCGGTGCCGAGCGGGTGCAATGTGCTTCGCAGTAGAAGGATTCCGGAAACTATTTCCATGCGGTAAATGGGGGTTGATGCTAGGCCAATGATGAAGACTTCGCTTATGATACCATGTGAAGGGGGCCCCTTCTCCTTGACCCCGATTTGACGCGGGGAACCTGTTTGTTTTCTTATGCTTTGCAATGGCGTTTCCTCCGAAGACCTGGAAGATATCATTTTCTTTTTTTTTCTCTTTGTCTTCTCGGGTTCCATTTCCCAAATTCTCCTGTAATCTCTTTCGAACCCCTCGCCTTGTCCAATTCTTTTTTTTTTCTTTTTCCTTCTTCTTCTTCTCCATACACGTTTCGGGTCCTTGATCCTTGCTTTTTCCATTGCTTTTTCACTTTTGTCGCCCGTTTTATGTTTTCCATGGGAACTGGGGTTTATGTGGTGGGAGTTGCGCTGACGGTGGGAAATGGTCATGAACCGAAGATGGATGATACGAGACCACAATTGCGGGCCTGGCTCCTGCGAACGGATCTTGAAGATTTTTGTTGCCCCTGCTGGCTTGTTTCTAGGATGAAGCTCTGGGAAGGGGTCGCGGCGTGATCACGATGGCTTCGTGCTTTTTTTTGTTAGCCCGCACTCTGATGATGACCTTTGAATAGACATTGTGTGTTTTCGTTTCAATGCATTTGTTCATCTTACGGATGGTTTGTTCAAAATGCGACGTCTTGTTGTCAGTCGTACGTGTAGTCGTAAGAGTGAAGAGAAGGAGGTGGGAGTGCGACAAGACAGCTTCCTTGGAAGTCCTCCAAGGTCCTCTGTGCTGTTGTGGGACTGGCTTCCAAGGTCGTCTTGTGAACTCCTTGAACTTGAGTGGTAGGTAGGTTGACCAGTGTGCAATAGGTAGTATAAATAGTGTCTTTTGGCTAATTAAGGTGGTGAGTTGTGGGCTGTTCAGGGAAAATCAGAATATGCTACGTTTGCGGTGCGACGCTACGGTTGCTCCTTAACTCGGCAATAAGAGTCCTGAAAGCCTCGATATCGGGTATCAAATTCACTTGCTATATAGTCATTGAGAGTTCGCATAATAGGCAAACTATAGAAAGACGCAAGCTTTTGAGCCTAAAAGTCAAATCCTATTCGGTGCGGGACGTGGATGTGAACTTCGCGCAGCGAGGGCTGTACTGAGGCGCTTGTTAAAGGGCTTTTCTTTGTTGAAGAAGACGCTCGGTAATAGAATTTATATAGTGTTCAGAGTAGTCACGAATTACGATTCTAATTTTTGTATATCAAAGGCGTCTTGATGAAATAAGGTGAAGATCAAGAACACGGTAGCTGAAAGTTTCTATGGGCGGATTATCCCAAAGGTTTCAAGGCCCAGGGACGCTAAAGATTAAAGGCAACCTAGTAGCTAGCTGAATTATCTAGTCAACACAAAAGTCGACTGTGAATTTCATGGGTTTCTATGGATTTCTATAAAAGATCGATATCCATAATCGCTCACTTGGTTTAGTATAATGTAGTACGGATAGCTTGTGCGTTATGAGCGCTTAAGGCGGTGTCAGCTATATTGTGAACGTTGTTTCTCCCAACTTCCTCCATCTTGCCTCCTTGATATTGGTTTACGTCTACTCCCCGGTCCTATGAACAATCGTCTTTTAGTTAAATACAATGTCGAATCCTATGTTGCAACACAACCTCTGGTTTAAAAATTAGTATTAAACCCCGGAAAAGAGTCGGACCGCTACTATGGCGCGCTCTACGGAGTGTATAGAGTGCAATTCTTATTTTTAAATTTAGCTAGCTTTGTCCGTTTTCCCATAGAGATTAGACAAAGAGCAGTTTTTGTCGGTTTAGAGAGCGGGAGAGTTGTGCATCTTCGTTGATCATCTCATACCTTGTTGTAACCTTAGATTTCTGTCACTTCAGTCTAGTACCTGTGGATAAGTTCTCTTGTCTTCAACGCAACTACACGGTTTCCAGAGCTAAAGAATCTATCCTTAAAGTGGGCACTATCTTTATCAGTACTTCTAGACATCATACTATAAACTAAAAGCGAAATATCATTAATGTTAGGTTCAAACGAAATGACTCCTTTGCTTAGAATAGACAACTAAAAACCCCTACGTAGACCTAGAAGAAGAAAAGGTCAAGTAGAGTAAGTCGTAATAGCGATTCGAGGGATAGATTATAAGCGCCTATTCTAAATCGAAAACGCCCTAGGAGCTACGATTTTATTGATACAAGAGACATACTCTAGAGAGCGATCCTACCTTTCTAATCGATAAGGAAATAGGTGGGTTTGGGTGAACAAGACCAAGTAGATTTTCTAACTACGGCCTGACTTCCTAGTATCATTTCCGCGAATGGACTTGTGCAGAAAGCTCGTCGGAGTTTGCTAAAGACAGCTTTGTATATGTTGACCACTAGCGGACTCATACAGCTGGTTCATCATGATGGTCTAAATGTAGCGCTATGCATTTGCTTCGACTACCGTTTCCCGTCTGGTGAGATAAGCAAACTTCCAATTTGTACTACCCAAGTTCTGCTATGCAGTATTTGTGCTACTCCCTTTATTTACTTTTGTGATTTGATGCGTCCACCTGCCTTATCATAGACCACCTCAGTATTCTGTAGAACATGAATAAAGACCGGGAAATCCTTCTTGGTCTCGCCAGTTTGCCGCACGGCTGTTGACATACATTTCAAGATCCGCATGGGGAAACGGACTGTGTAAGCTCTACAGGAGAAAAACAGCTCCTAGCATACAGAGGCATTTTGTTCTCTGGCCAGAAGTCCCGCCAACAGGGGACTACTGAACAAGATGGCGTCGTCTGATCTTCCGCCAATTGATCCAAGCCCACCTATATTCTCACAGCAATTTAATTCCTCTGATCCCCCGCATGTCGCCAAGAAACCTGCCAAAAAAAACCATGAAGAACGTTCAGTCTATTTGCCAGACTTGTTTTGCTCTATCATGGCCGTTGAGCCGATTATAAACCCAAATTACCTCCGTGTGAAGTCCAAAGGCGATTCGCTTGTTGTCAAGTATGCACACAGACACAACTAGGGAGAGACCCAGGCTTACGCTACACAAAGGGCCCTCCAGGCAGATGACCAATACGCCGCAAAGTTCTCTGAGATTGACTTTGCTTGCTTGTCTGCTATGTGGGCACCATCCTGCGACGAGGATGCCTTGCAAATCCTTGCAGACTGGCTCAACTGGGTAGAGTAGTATCCAGATTGCGAAGGATGATTGACTCTACTGACGTCGGCTCTATAGTTGTTTCTATTCGATGACCGTGAGTGGCATCACTCGTGACCTGTACAAGAAACTCCATCTTATATTCTATCACTTCTAGAATTTGACGACGGGCATCTGAAGGATGACCCCATCGGAGCTGAAGAAGAAATCAGCAAGGTTGTGGCCATCATGAATGGAACGTGGCCATCGGTCTCGATGCACGAAGATCCCCTAGGATTTTTATTCCAGCGGGTCTGGGGCCGCCTAGAAAAGGTATCAAATGCTTCTTTTCCCCTAGTCTGTAAAGCCCTAGCTAATAAGAATACACTAGTCCCTATCTCCTAGTATGTTGAACCGAAGAAGACATTTCGATTGACTTGATATACTTGGTGTATCACTCTGAACTAACACGCTCGCATCATAAGCCACACAACAGCGGTTGAAAGAAACACATCAAGATATCTTTTGCGGACTAATCCAACAGATCTATGATACAGGTGATTTACGTACATGCACACGCGATGTGCAAAAGTACTTGCAAATTCGGAGGAAGACTGTCGGCGCAAGCTCAGCCTTTGCCTTCTGCGAGTGCGTTCCTCTTGGGATCATTCAACGTCGTATTCAACATATTGACCTCGTCATCTAGAGCTATTCTAGGCATTGAACTTCCGCCACATGTCCAGAGCCATTCATCCATTCAGGGGTTGAGCAATCTCTCAACCGACATGTTAATCTTGTCAGTTGAACCCTAGAGCTCTTCGGGAAACCCAAAGGAAAAAAGAAGATTAATGAATATTAGCGCCAATGACATTGTCTCTTATCGAAGGGACTTGGTAGGCACCCAGTGCTCTAGATGTGCTCTCCCATGCTAAGACTCCTGTCTAGGAAGAAGGAACTGACCTCAACCTAATCGAGGTTCTTATGGAACAGGGGATCTCTGCACAACAGGCTGTGGATAAAGCGGGTGAGATGCTGATTGATTGCTATAAGCAGTGGTATACGGTGCTAGCCAGTGTGCCTATCTGGGGAGAAGAGACCGATCGACAGGTGTTGAAGTTTATTAATCTCTGGCGAGATATGGTATTAGGAAATCTACATTGGAGGTAAAGTGGATCTCGAAGGTCTAAATGGAAACTTCGCGCTGACAAGAAGATCACTAGTTTCAGGACGACGCGCTACCTAGGGAATGAGGGGGGAGAAGTCCATCGGACACGAGTCCTGCATCTTCCCTGTTGACAACCGGAAGATGTGAATCAATCTATGGTCGATCAGGGGGAGAGAAATAACCATCAAGCTCGCTGGACCGGATAGAGCCATCGATACATTTTTAGGGGTCTTATTTCGGTATTCATAACGTGACACTCAACTTTGGTCAAGCACTTCTACAGCATCGATTTTGAGATGAGACGTAAAGAATTGGGCCTCGAAACGGAGATAGTCTTCACTACCCCATGAGTTTTGACAAGTAGCCCATTCTAAATCCGCATTTCATTACCACACTGGTCTCGACCGAAAGGGTTAACCGTTGAGTTGAACCACTCTCCTGTTCGCCATCCTCGCCCCTCTCTTCTCTCTGGTTCTTTTCCTACCCTTGCCCCTGGGAAGAAGCCCTAATATCTATTCAGTGAGCCTGCGGTTGAACACGCTCATAGAAGACGTGATGAAAGGGACCCAGATTAAAGGCCGTAAAAAAAGGGCAAACAGACACTTTTCCATGTCCAGCCTTTAATGGAGAAATAACACGATCGTGTCACACAATTCTACCAAGGAATTTGGCGCTCGAGATAGGCTCTACTTTGTATAGACTTCCAGCTGATAAGTAGAAGGGTCTGATCCCATTATACTACAAAGATTGTGGAGATTGCGACATGTCCGTGTTATTTATCTAAAACGAAATCCCTACTTTGGTCTCCAGGCAGGAAGGCATCTATCTGTCCTTCCGCCCAAGTGCTCCGAGCTCACCGGTATCGGAACCCATCCGTTCTAGAACAACGCCAATGTGCTGTAATTGTTGGCGTGGCGCTTGGGTCCGATACTGTCAAAAGGGCCGGAGATGCTTCGGAATAAATTCTGTGGCTTCTGCTATCCGGCAGAATTTGAATCCTACTTCATAATCAAGCCAGCTCTTCAGTGAGGGGGCATAGGTTAGGAGTGCTAGGTACAAAAAAAAGTGGCCTGGTAGGTTCAGGGATGCTTGTAACACGCAATGATCTCGAGCCATCTCCTCGGGTTTCCCGACAAGAGCAACTTCACAGTCACCCCTGCATATGCATGTATGTACACGAGGAACAGCCAGCACGTCGAGCACGTCGAGTCGTCAGTCACACAAACACAAGAGATGGGGGTAGACTCCCAGTGATGCACAAGATCCCGTGTCCAGATGTAGTAATGGTGCACCGGGAACTCGAGATCAAGAAATCAGAATCCCAAGCCAAGCGATCACTACGAAACTGTAATATTAGCGGTAAGGGGGAGAAATCACTAAAATCACGAAAGCCAAACCCCCATGATAGTGACAAACTGGATGAAGAGTCGATGTACATGGCAACATTCTCGTATCAAACAAGCTAGATGCCATCCCGTCTAGGCAAGACAGGGCTGATACCGAAGAGCATCTCCGAGGAGACGGAGAATTTGCGATGTAGTCCGTGTAGCGGAGATAACTGTAACGGCTATCCCACCCTTACCAGCTGCAGATCCGAACCACGCGACGCCGCGTGATTTCCTTTTTGACTTCTTCCTGTCGCCTATTTTTTCTCTTACCGGCCGCTTTAAAAGTCAGTCTGGCAGCCCAGAGAATCCACGGGTCTTGGAAACGTTACTCCTGTACGGAGTTGTCTGGGGCGGAATGTCTTGCGTGATAAGGTCAAAAGCGCCGAGGAATGTCCCAGGAAGACTAGCCAGCAATTCACGGGGAAGATGTAAATCGAGACAGCTGAGACGCCGGTGAACAGACCACGAGTGGCCTGGGTCTCGTGGCACCATATTTTAAGTTAAGGGCGCAGCTCTCCAGATGTCCTCTGCACGCAGCACTGCTTGAGTACTTCCGTCTTTCGAATCTCCCGCTATCCGCGGGCCAAAGATAAAGCTCGATGATGTGATTTAGATCGAAATTGCGCGTTTGCAAGGTGGATGCAAACAAACCCCCAGCAGGGGGGAAAGACGTGCAATCTCGAGGCTCCATGTCCAATTTCAGTGCATGCCTCAACACGGGGCCGTTGGGATGCCGGTTCAACACTCGAGGCAACTCCGGCCTTGCCTCCTTACTCTGTAGAGAGTACTCCGTACTAGGTTGAAATATCCTCAGGTCCATGTTCTAATATAGCGTATGTTGTCCTCGGTAACAAGGCAACTGTCTACAGCGTATTCCGTACTCCGTCACTGCTGCGAGAATGAGTCCCGACCTTTTCCACTGCCTCTGCACCTCACAGATTGAGTCGCCCCGAGCTCCAACGGACTCCACGCGAGCTTTTGACTTTTTCCATCACATTAGAACTTCTGAATCGACCCTTCCATAACGGGACAGACCATGGCAATTTCGATCCGGTCATTTGTGGAGCTAGAGGGGACTACTCCGGTTGACAAATGGCCCTGAAGGTCTCCCGCCAGTGGATCCTCGCGTCACTTTCACCATCTCGCCTCCAGATTGCGTGTTCTGACCGGTCCATGATTGGTCAGATGACTCTCCACTTGATCTGGGGCAAATCTCATTTGTCATCCGGTTCTCTAGGGGAGGATCTTCCATTTTCATCGCAGTTCTATTGTATGGGCGATGAACTCCAGAGAATGTGTGGTCCAATAAGCACGTTAACAAAAAAAACCCCCCCCAAACCGAGTCAACCGGTGTGATGGTGGAAACATTCTCCCCACATACAATCCGAGTTCTCCCAGCCCCATCTACTCCACGAGTCCACAACCCGTCATCTTCTTCCAGACCGAGTGGGACCCGCGGGTTTGTGCTCAGTGATCAACATCATCGGTGGACCCGGCCAGTCTGAATGTCCTCTCTGATCGTTCACAACGTCGGCTCGCTATTAACCAGGGTTGACTTGTTTCGGGGGAATTTTATCTCGACCACGGGATCTAAGTCTAGCCCTCGTTTAGCCCTAGCTTGAATTTGACCCCGGCCAGTGAAGTGGAAAGTTCCAGGCAAATCTGAAGTTGAATACGGGGAGCTTAGATATTGCGCCATTTGCGATCGAATCACGCATCCAACATTCTGTGCCCTTCTTTTTTTTTTTTTTGGGTCGCGCCATGCCAAGTGTATGAGTGTCTGATGTGACATTCTATTTTATATCCCTGATCATCACCAGATTTCTAGGGACTCTCCAACAGATCTTTCCAGATTTTTAGTCAACACACATCCTGGGGGTGAAGCTTCGTCCACTCCCGGCATTTGATATTGTCAACTCCGGTCTGTACAAGCACAATCATGTCTGGAAAATGGGACCAGGCCAGTTCCAAGATTGGCCATTCCCTAGCCAAGGTTCTCGGGATCAAGCTGGCATACAGAGACCCGCTGGGGGCTACCAGTGAGGCCGTTACAAGGGGAGAATCGGAATTCTCGATCGGGACCGTCGACACATATTCATACAACGAGCCCGAGCCGACAAGTATCGACTGGATTCGCGAGACCACCCCGTCCGGAGCTCAAATAGGCAGATATGTTGTCAGTCTGTTCCCTTTCCTCTCATGGATTGGCAACTACAACCTCACCTGGCTGTACGGAGACTTGGTTGCCGGTATCACTGTTGGAGCGGTCGTTGTGCCACAAGGTATGGCCTATGCCGACCTGGCCGAACTGCCGGTACAGTTCGGTCTGTACTCCTCGTTCATGGGAGTTTTGATCTATTGGTTCTTTGCCACGTCAAAGGATATCACCATTGGAGTGAGTGACACTGCGGCAGAGTGAAACCCAGACATCGCTAACCTCGTCTCACACAGCCCGTGGCCGTCATGTCAACTCTCACCGGAACAATCGTGAACAAGGTTCAGCGTGAATACCCAGACTACCCTGCCCATTTGATTGCATCCTCTCTGGCGATCATCTGCGGTGCGATTGTTCTAGTGATGGGTCTCCTGCGTATCGGATTCATTGTCGATTTCATTCCTCTCCCCGCCATCTCGGCCTTCATGACCGGCTCCGCTCTAAGTATTTGTGCGGGACAAGTCCCAACTATGTTGGGCGAGAAGGCCAAATTTAGCACGCGCGGTGCCACCTACAAGATCATTATCAACACCCTCAAACACCTCCCCAGTTCGACCTTGGATGCTGCTATGGGGGTCACGGCCTGTGCAATGCTTTACATCATCCGTTCAGCATGCACTTACGCTGCGAAGAAGCAGCCCGCCAGGGCCAAGACCTGGTTCTTCATCTCGACTCTTCGGACCGTGTTTGTGATCTTATTCTACACCATGATTAGTGCTGCCACCAACTTGCACCGAAGGGAGCACCCGGCATTTAAGCTTCTCGGTAAAGTCCCTCGAGGATTTCAACAGGCCGCGGTGCCCACTCTGGATTCTAAGATCATCAAAGCCTACATTGGCGAACTTCCAGCTGCGGTCATCGTTCTTCTGATTGAGCACATTGCCATTTCCAAATCTTTCGGTCGCGTTAACAACTACACGATCGATCCCTCTCAGGAATTCGTCGCCATTGGGGTAAGTAACCTTCTCGGGCCTTTCCTCGGTGGCTACCCCGCGACTGGATCCTTCTCCCGGACAGCTATCAAGTCGAAAGCCGGAGTGCGGACACCCCTTGCCGGTGTCATCACCGCAGTTGTGGTCCTGTTGGCTATCTATGCCCTGCCCGCTGTCTTCTTCTACATCCCCAAGGCCTCTCTGGCTGGCGTCATTATCCACGCTGTCGGCGATCTAATCACTCCCCCGAACACTGTTTACCAGTTCTGGCGCGTGTCGCCACTTGATGCGATTATTTTCTTCATCGGTGTCTTTGTCACCGTTTTCAGTTCCATTGAAAATGGTATTTACTGCACAGTCTGTGTGTCGGTGGCAGTCCTCCTTTTCCGTGTGGCCAAGGCCCGCGGTCAGTTCCTAGGCCGTGTCACCATCCACTCTGTTGTCGGAGACCATCTGTTGAACGGCGACGGAAAGTACGGATCGTTTGGAACTAACAAGACTCCCTCCGACGACGAGGACCGCCACCACCGAACCATCTTCCTTCCCCTCAACCACACTGATGGCTCCAACCCCGACATCGAAGTGGAACAGCCCCT